TGCACAAGCATTGAGGAATTTGTCTATGAATTTGCATCCTCAAAGAGAGTGCAGCCTGTTGTGAATGGCAACTCTTTGTATTCTGTTAAAAAATAACAGGATTTCTATTCAGTTTTCTTCACGATAGGGGAATAAATAGACATGATTGACAGGTGCTATCAGAAAGGAAGGCCAAAGGCAAAAATAGCATTTCTCCATTTGAAATTCCTGCTGCCTACAGTCAACTACCAGAGGACAAAATCAAGAGATTTGCAATGCAATGATAGGAGAGACAACGTCAGCATGCTAGCGTGTTCTGGCAAACTCCCAGAATGAGCAGACGATGGTGAGTGAATGGAAGATGGTGGAAGATGGTGAGTTCCATCCTGTTTGAATGATGCTTTCCTTGATACCCAGCACAAATAATCATCACCTGTGCTTGCCCCGCACCGGGGTTCACTTCATAGCTGCCTGGCTGGAATCTGTGTGTGTGGTGTGTGGAGTGGAGTCCATCTGTGTGTATGGTGTGTGGAGTGGGGCCTGTGTGTGTGGAATGTGGAATGGAGTCCATCTGTGTGTGTGGTGTGTGGAGTGAGGCCTGAGTGTGTGGTGTATGGAGTGGAGTCCATCTGTGTGTGTGGTGTGTGGAGTGAGGCCTGAGTGTGTGGTGTGTGGAGTAGAGTCCGTCTGTATGGTGTGGAGTGGCGGTATATTGTTTAGTTGAGGTTGTAAATCCAGGAATCATGAACTGTATTTTTTTTTTTAACTCATTTTGTTCAGCATCTAGCAGGGAAATTGGCTGCATTTAGGAATTTCATGAAGTCCTATGGCTAATGGTAAGGAATGGCTGGCAGGAAGAACCTTCTGGCTACAATAATGCTAAATACTAGAATAGGTCACTCAGTGACCTCCGTCACGACAGCATGAGGTGTCAGTCAGGAGTCTGAGGTTCAAGTATTGCTCTGAGCAGGGAATAAAACAGATGACCTTGCTCCTTTCAGCCCAGAGGTCTAGTGGAAAGTGTTCCAAAGGCAACTTAATACTCTGGATTTTTTTTTTTTTCTCCCTCGTTTTTCTTTTTAATTTGCACTTCCTATTTTCAGTGTCTATAATGTGCTAACGGGCTTTCCTCCCATTAAAAAACACGTGTGGATGTGAGAATGTTCTCCTCGAGAAAAGATGGCCTCTAGGGTTTTGCTTTTGGCTTGAGGTCCTATGAGGTAGGTGTTTTGAAACCTCCCCCGCAGCAGGCTGGGGTGCCAGTGAACCTTGGTGGGGGTCGGCAGCTCTCCTGCTAATTTTGGCAGGAGAGGGAGACACTCAGCCCCATTGAGAGGGAAAAAGGTGAATTTTTCAATCCATTTGCAAATCGGAATAAAGTGAGTCTCCAGACCCAGCACGTATTCAGAGCTTATGGAGTCTCTTCTACACCAAACCTGATAGAAAAGAAGTGACCCAAGTTCATGCTTCTTCCATCCCGGATCATAGAGGGGGCAGCTTAGAGGGCCGATCACCAAGGGGAGGAGTGCAAAGGCCAGACCAGGCCACCATCTGATGCTGTGGGTGGCTGATGGTAGCCTGGTGGCCCTGCGTTAGGATTTTTTTTTTAAAGATTTATTTATTCATGTGTACAAAACCAGTGTACAGGCCAGATGTGCGGTAGGGTGAGAGGATTCACCAGAGACAGAGCGGGGAACAGAACAGGCAGACTGACTGAAATACACTGCTGAGGGGAGCAGCGGGCGAGACAGGAGAGGTCTGCTGCACCATGTGCGATTATCGCAGGCCGGGATCGAACCCGAGCAACAGAGGCCTCGGACAGCTCCACAGTACTGCGCTCAACAGCCTGCACCACCAGGGGAGGCTCCCCTGCGTTAGTATTTTGAGGAGTCAGAAAGGAACAAGGAATATAGAGGGAGCAACCCTCAATTACAGAGCGCAGGGAGGTTGAGGGCGACTGATACTCTTTGGCCCTCACTGTAAGGAGAGGAGCAAAGGCAGAGATTTCCTAAGGCGCCTTACCTCTTTCATATCCCATGATTCTGCATTTCAGTGACTTCTGTCTGCAGCGGGATAGGTTTTATGCTTTTATCAAAGAGGAGGTAGATCTTCTGAAAAAGGTTCTTCTCATTATGGCCTGGAAGTTAAATGACACTGCTGAAGTCCACTTATTAAAATGCATTAGCTCATCAGCATGCATACTTTCTCGGGCCCTGATGACTTCATGGCCTAAGTGAACATTTCATATTCCTTTGGAAAATTGAATTAGCACAGCCAACTCTGCAGAAAATTATCTTTGACTAGTAGATGTTATTTCTACACTATTCTTCTTTGCCTAAGAAAATAATGACTCTGAGACTTAAGCTTGACGCCTAAGAGTAAATGTCTCCCCTTGGCTTTTACAGTCCCAGGAACTGTTTTAGATGTTTTACATTCATTCCTTCATTTAAATGTTTTACATTTAGATGTTTTACATTCATTCCTTCCTTCTGAGAACTCTTTGACATGAGTAGGTACCTTACCCCAGTTTAACCCACAAGCACATGGAAGGTAAGAGAGATGACGTAAGGTATCAGGATTAGCTCTTGAGTCTAGCAGTTAACTCAGAGCTCCCTGAGACCCCAGTACACTCTCCTACCTTCTGCCTCTCCCAGAGCATTCATGGACTTGACCAGCTTGAGATACTACACTTGGGAGGAATTAAGGGCTAGATGTTGTGGGAGAGAGCTGTGTGGAATGCCCGAGCATGAACAAGGAGCTTTAGTTTCCATAATGTGTAAAATGGGTCTATAAGATATGTCATGCCCGTCTGTAGGGCACTCCTAAGTACTGCTATTAGGATTCAGAAACCAAGCTGAATCCCTAGATTTAGATTTCTCTGTCTCTGGACAGTAACCATGACAAAAGCTAGCAATGAGTGCTGACTCTACTAGGTGCTGTTCAAAGTCTTTTCTACCCATTTAAACCTCATAGCAACCCCACGAGACCAGGACACTTGCTCTTCCTATATTCCAGTTGGGGGAGGGAACCCAACTGGACCCAGAGTGGTGCAGAAACTAGGAAGTGGCAGAGCTAGGAAACAAGCCCAGGCTCTTTTAGTCATTATTATAAATTGCTTTTCAGCACTAAGCTCTTTTTATTTTATTTTTAATTTTAAAATTTAAAAAAAATTTTTACATCACTGTTCATTTTTAAATAATGTTTGCTTCCCACCACCCCCTCAGGTGTAGTCCCCATAGAGTTTACTCCCCCAATGCACCCGTGCACCATCACCTCAGTCCCCTGTGCGCCTCCCTCCCTCCCTCTGATCCCTCTCCCGCCTCCTCCCCTGCAGGATGTCTCTGGTTTATAATTGTCTGTTTTTGCTTTGTTGTGCTTTTTTATTTTATTGAGGTACATTGGTTTGCAACATGTTATTGAGGTACATTGGTTTGCAACACTGTACATGATCAGAGGTTTAAGATCACACCTCTCAGATACATGCCCCACCCACGCTCATCACAAGGCCCCCGTAGTCCTCACTATAGTCCAGGTGTGCCCACCATACTAGACTTTGATAAACCTGAAATACTTGTTGCTGTCACACTAATGGGCTCCCCCACTCTTAGGGGTGGGATGAGGCCAAGGGGAGTGATGTTGAGCCATGACTTCTCTGACTGTATATTTGACCTGGGTGACACTGGTTAGTTGTGGCATATTCCCACAGAGTCTTTCTAGGTTGGGCAGGGAAGACCTTTCACAAAACCTCATGTAGTCGAAGTCATGATACCCGATTCTCTCTGCTGCTTTGGCATTCTGTTCTCGACACTTTCTCCTGAACTAAGAAGGCTCAGATATTTTTTGTACTTTTATACTGTTTATAAGTTACTCACTCTTTCAAGATTATGAATGCATATTTCATGTCTAATGAATACTACAGAGGCTTAAATGTAGCATTTGAACTTGCCAAATGATAGGTGCTCAAGGAAGGAAACGAGTCTGAAACTGATTAGTTGACTCCCCAACTTCTCGTGAGCCTGTAAGTGAACTGAGGGCTATTTCACTTGAGCAGAACTGACTGGGGTAAACCAAAGATCCAGACCTGTTTCCATTCTTTTTTTTTAAAAAGAGGTTTTTTTTTTAAAAAAAGATTTATTTATTTATTTATACAAGCACTGGGTACAGTCAGAAGCGCAGGAGGGTGAGAGAATTCACCAGAGCCAGAGCGGGGAACAGAACAGGCAGACTGACGAAATACACTGCTGAGGGGAGCAGTGGGCGTGGCAGGAAGGGTCTGTCGCACCATGTGGGATCCTCGCCGGTGGCCGGGGATCAAATCGGTGCTGCAGAGGCTGTGGGCAGCTTCGCAGACCAGTGCTCAACCACAGTGCCACCAGGGGAGGCCCTGTTTCCCTTCTTGTCCTTGGAGCGATGCAGGGGTGGAAGTAGGGAATGGCTGAGTGCTTAGGAACCCCTCAAATATAAATTGGAAACAGAAGCTGAGATGTGACAGCTGACAGAGTGGAAGTAGATGCAGGGCAGACAGCAATGGTTAGACCCAGCTCTTTGTAACTTCAGTACCAGCACGATGCGGGGCATTTAGTAATATTTGAATATGAGGAATCCTTACTGTGCTCTTAGATATGCTCCTCATGAAGAGTTTAGAGAGATTGTGGGGTCTGTTGAAGCTGGAGAAGACCTCAAGGAGAGGCCGGACTTGAGGCGGCCTGAGGTAGAGAGCAGACGTGGGCAGAAGGGGGAGCACACAGGAACTATGTCCCTGGAAGCCGAACCTAGTAATAGGTACCAAGTTCTTGATTCTCTGTCTTGTCTCCTCTCTACAACTCTACCAGGGGGAAGAGCTCCCTCACTGAGCATTGCCGGAAAACCAGGGAGGGATGCCCCTTAGCTAATCTTCTGCCCCCCTCTGCTATTGCCTGTGGGTCTCGAGTCTAACTTGTTAACCATTTTAATTTGCTTGCATTATTCCTGAATGCCAGTCCTTTGGTGTTTGGGCTCACCCTGTGGGGTTTCCTTTCCAGGTTAACATGTTTGTTGAAGGATTTCATGACGCCATTCTTCTCTATGCCCTGGCTTTACATGAAGTACTCAGAGCTGGCTACAGCAAGAAGGATGGAGGGAAAATTATCCAGCAGACCTGGAACAGAACATTTGAAGGTGAGGACTCACTCTTTAAGGTGATAGCACTCTGCAGCCTTTCCAGCCCCTTCTCTCCTTGTTCTGCTTTTTTCTTACAACAGTGGGACCTTGCCTGTGTCTTGTTTTTCACAGCTATACAGTAAGGATAATAAGTCAAGACCAACGTACCTCGCAGGCTTGTGAAAATTAAATGAGATAAAGCTTATGAAAGTCCCACTGAAATAGGACGTGCCTTTTCTCCTTCTGCTCATTGGATAACTACTCTATGAGTCTTCAAATTACATGGATCACAAGCCACATCCACAACAAGTAGTGTTTGTGAAGAGTTCTGTGATCAGTTTTAAGTGAAATAATCCCCTGTTGAAAGGATTATGAAAGGATTATTGAGAAGAACAGTTTTTATTTTGAGTTTTCTGTTTTTATTTTATTTTTGCAATGGTGACCACTAGCTGTTGCTTTCTTAAGAACAAAGAGGTGCAAGAACTACAACCAAAAAAAAAAAAAGGCCTATAATCTCATCACTCAAGCAAACCCTACTGACATTTAACAACTGTACAAGAATGAGACACTTCTTGGCTGGAAAATTTAAACAGTACAAAAATGTACAAAATGAAAAGTGAAAGTTTTTCTTCCCACCCTACTGCCCTCTCCCCAAAGTAATCACTATTCACAATTTCCTATGATTCTGTCTAAAAATATTTCGTGCCTTCTGCCAGCACATATGCACTTGTATATCTTATCTAAAAAATTCACACAAAAGGATCAGACTATGAATGCTATTCTTCATCTTAACTTTTTTTAAACTTGTATGTCAAGTAAAAGAATTTTCAGATGAGCACTCACAGATTTAGCACATTTAAAAAGTGATAGTTCCACATTTTTCTACCATCTAACTGTATAAGAATTTTTGTGGATCCAAAGTAAGTTGTTGCCTTTTAAAGGGCATTAGCAATTGTGACATAGCTATTGCCACAAGTTCTAGCTAGAGGCCTCCAGCAGCAGCTGCCATGCTCAAATTGGTGGGTTTCATTTCTCATTGGTGGGTGGTTTTAGCAAATGCCACATCTTATTCAAAACCAGAGTGACGTCTGCTTTACCTAAAGACAGACTGTAAGATGAATGACTAGGTCTGCAGGGTTGTCCTTGCTTGTTGACCTCTGACTACTGCTGCTAGGAGCTGGAGTCAAATAGAATAACTTCAGGGGCACATTAGGACATGCTCACATTTCCCAGAAGTTGTGCCCAATACACCGAGAAACCAGCATGTGTGGGCACAACGTTGGCAGGTAGGCCACAGCCTGCTCTAAGCCACTCCCCAGTGGTCATTTGTTCTTGGTCTGCTGAGAGGGGTTGTTAGGGGCAAGGCAGGTGCCCACGATGACTGGAGCCCCGTTTTGTTCAGAGCCAGGGGCACAGGTTACGTGTTACCATCAGCAGCCTTATGCTTTCATTCTGGGCCAGGTCTACACAGGCGATGTGAACTGAATCTATATTGTTCTGTATAGTTCAGTCTAAATTTAGAATCGCATCTGTTCAAATGTCAATGAAAACCAAGACGAGTTTTGAGCTTGACTTGTAAGATGAGTCCATTTTATTTGCTAATTGACAATCAATCTGAGCGTAACCCCTTCTCCCCCCAGAACTTTAAAGTATCTGTGTGAAGAAAAACCCCAAGTTTTCTAACATTAAAAACACTTTTAAGTTTAATGGTCACTTACAGTGACCATTAAGTTGTCAAGGGAAAACTCCCCTGGAGGTTATTTGACAAATTTGGATTTTATTACCGTGAAACCTGTGACCAACTCCCAAGTCTTTCAATAAATGGCTTGGAGAGAAGCTGAATTTCTTCTCTGTGTGAGAGATAGAAGTGACGAGGTAAATAGGGCTGTGGCTCAAAGCTTGTGCTTCGCTACAGGCCAATGGAAATGAGGGTGGAAAATGTCATTACTTATGTACAGGAAAATTCTGCTGTCAGCCTGACACTCTCACCTTCGACACAATACTCTCAGGTGAAGTCTCACTTGCTAATTGGCTACCCTGAGGGTTCTCACCCCATTTCTCGGCAGAATTGTAATAGCTTCAAGTGTAATGAGGTCTGGATTACGAGGGCCACCTTGTCTTATAAAATACTCTGCAAAACACTTAGGAGAACACACCATCATAAACACATCTGAACAGCATGACACAAGGTTTTGAAGAGCCAGTACGTTTGGAGGTAAATATATTTAAAAAATGGTATAATCACATAAAAGATTTACAGGCTGAAAAGGATAAACAAGTCTGAGATAGGTGTAGCCTTTGTAACCAGTCTATATTCAGAAGACAAAAAAGTCAAGATGAATGGGTAACTCCATTCTGTTTCCGGCAAAGTAGACCAAAGTCTGGAAAAATAATTGAGCCTTCAAACCACAACCCAAAGGACAGTCAACCCAAATACCTGCCCTCTCCAAGCCACACTAGAGCATGGAACTTTCCCTTGGGATTCTTTTTTCCCAGACATTCATTTTACTTCTGCAGAGAACGCAATCAATAGAAACACCCATTAAGAATGACACTGCAGTCTACTATGGTCTAAAGAGAAAGAGAACAAATTAGTTAATTAGAAAGTGGCTGACATATGCAATCTCTTACTTAGCTAATGAAAATTATAATATAGACATAGTTATACCAACTAATGAGACACATTTATTTTTATTGATCGGCTGCTGTAAGCCTCCATTGCCCGCCAAAGCAAATTCACATCCTCCATGGGAGCACTCAGGGCTCTCCGTGCTCCCACCACATGCTCCAGCCTCCCACCCACTGCTCCCCTTCCTACAATCACTACCTCCCTGGGGCCTCATGGTCTGCTGCTTCCTTTTGGCTTTTGTGCCTTCATAAACACTAGCTAGGGCAACCTTTGTTTGCAGAACACTCCCAATCCCTGATGGTTGCGTGTCCCAATTCTAGACTTTCTCCAATGTCCCTCTCAAAGACCTGCTGTTTCACTGAGTATTCCCAGACTCTGCAACTAGATGGGCCAGCTTCTTTTCTGAGGGCTGCAGGCATAGTCAGATGGTCTCCTCTATTCTAGGCACCGTGATGGTAATAATAACCACAGATGCAAACAACTAGTTCCTCTTAGAGCTGTGTTGAGAGTGCTTAACCTGTTTTATCTCATTTAACCTTCTCAACAGCCTCCTGGCAGGCAGGGACTCATGTGCTTCTTTTATAGCCCTGGATACTGAAGCTTGAAGGGCTTGGGCCAAGGGCACAGAGCTAGTAAATATAGGGGTGGGATTCCAATGCGAGTAGTTGGGATTCCAATGTGAGTTCACCAAGCTGAATCCCTACTCCAGGCTGCCCCTCTTTTGGGCAAAGAATGTGTTCAGTGCATCTTTGCCTTAGCTGCAGCATTAAATCCCGCATGCTGCAATCACCCAGAAAGCCTCTGGATAAACAATGAATGAACAACACAGTGGGATAGAGACCAGCTCTTCAGCTCCTGGCTCCAGGACCTGGGATGGGGGTCTCTGCTCTCTGGTTCATCAGAGGAACCAGCGCAATAGCCCATCGCTGAGCCTGGGCCTGGAATGAGTTTTCTTTCATAACATTTCTCCAGCGATAACTTGAACCCATAACAAGTTTAGGAATGTACCCACTGCCACTTCCCACTGGCAGTTTTTTTAAAAAAACTAATCTAAAACTGGGGGGTTAAGTAGGCTGTTTTGAGTGTTAGCCTGTCCGTTTTTTTTTTTTTTAAACATATTCCCCAAAGGAGGCCATTTACTTCTTTTTCTTTTCATTTTAAATGGAGAAATGTTAAGAATTTAGGAATGCAGACACAGATGAAATTACAATGTCTTTCCAAAGGCCAACAAAAAGCTCAGAGTCTGATGAGATTCCCTGTGGCATGAGTTTGTTTAAAAAATCCCGTCAATTCACTTTCTTGTTTTTGTTGGCGGACAGAGGGACTGTAAGTAACTCACTTGGAGTTCTCTCCCATCTCCTCCTCTAGGGATTGCTGGCCAGGTGTCCATAGATGCCAATGGAGACCGATATGGGGATTTCTCTGTGATCGCCATGACCGACATGGAAGCGGGCACCCAGGAGGTGAGCAAAGAAGGTTCTGCTCCAGCTGCTGCTTCTGCTTGTTGGGATTCCAAGGAATGTGTTTCCTGGTGTCCAAATAACAGTCCCGAAAGCAGCCTCCACATAAATAGGAGCTCAAGACTTGGGAGTTTCTAGGGAGGGAGGCCCACTTCTCATTGGGGTGATCAGGGAAGACTCCAGGAAATGGTTCATGCTTATTGTAAGTGGGGAAGCCCTACCCTTCAAGTGGCCAAGAGAGACACGGAAGATCCTGCCTTCCCACTGCGTGGTAGCTACAGCAGAATATTCAGACGAGGCTGGCGAGACAGCCTTTAGTTTGGAAACCCCACTGCCTCCCTACACAAGCCCTACCACTTCCCCCATCCTCTGTTTCTGTATAACCCTTTCTCTGCCAAGGAACCATAGTCCTCCCTAAACTATGCCCACTTTCAGAGTACCTTTAGCGACTCCAAATCCTCACATACAACACCCTCAGAACACGCCATTATAGTCCCTGTGGGTAAGAGGGGGCCGCCCTATGCCTCTGAGACACAAGTAAATTGACCTTTCAGTTTGTATATTTGTTTTTGCCTTTTATCTAGGTGATTGGTGATTACTTTGGAAAAGAAGGTCGTTTTGAAATGCGGCCCAACGTCAAATATCCTTGGGGACCTTTAAAACTGAGAATAGATGAAACCAGAATTGTGGAGCACACAAACAGCTCTCCTTGCAAATCATGTAAGTTTAGAGACTTAATTTGCTATGCGTCTCCTCATCTGTAGTATCAGCATAACTTGACTTTCTAAGACAGGTGTCATCTAGGAGCTCGTGTTTGAAAGTTAAGATTTCTCTTTCTGATGTGGTCAAACCCTGGGGAATAATTCACAAGCTGTCATCCTACCTTATAGGAGGCTTCTAGTCTACTTTTCCAAAATGGTAGAAAACCTCTCCCTATTTTTACATCTTTTATTACAATTATAATTTCTTAGTAGTTGAGGTTTCTACTTTTAGGGAAAATCAAAGGCTAAATAACAAATGTCTCTCACTTATTCATCTCACAGGGAGTCTCTTTCTGAATTCCAGAGTCTGTGGTTATCCTTCTACTCCTCAGACCCAAACAGACAATATTCTTTAATGGCCAAAATCAGACAACTTGTCAAACAAGTGTATGGCATTTTATTTATAAGCAGCCTTCTCATAAATGTAGAAGCGAGTGGATATTCTTATAAGGAACTTACAAATGGGACAATTGTTGGAAGTCATTCCATTACTGAGACCCTTTTGTAAGCTAATGAAGGAAAACAAAGCAACATCCTGCTTCCAGTCAGCTGGTCACTCTAAGGTTGATGTATGTTTGACTTGTGTTTTCAAACTGTGAGAAACTTATGTATATGTGGCGATTGCACGAATGTGTTAAGAACATGGTTGCTGGAGTTACTGGGCTTATTTGAATTCTCACCCTTGTCATCTACTGTGACAAGTGTGACTCGACACACTTACTACAGTCCTTGGAGCTTTCCTTCACTTCTCTAAGCCTCAGTTTCCCCATATGTAAAATGAAAGAAACGTGCCCCACATTTAGGGTTGTTTTTGAGGATTAAATGAGATAATGCACTAAAGGCTGTACATTAGACTTCACATACAAGTTAGCTTTTGTCACTTTTATATAATAACTGGGACAGTGCTGAACTTGATTGTTTCAAATTGTTATTCACATTTTCACAAAGCTATATAGGACATTTTGACATGAATCTCTGGGTTTGGTGAGAGAACATCTAAAAACAGAACATTAACCCAATGAATTTTTCACCAAACCCTCCAGCACTTTGAAGTGTCACCACCCATCTGTGAAAACAAGCACTGGGTCCACCCCATGGGCCACCCAGGTGTCACCTCTGACGACAAACTCAAACGAGGGTGTAGACAGCTGAAGCCGGCAGTTTCCAGCATTCCTCAAGTCCTTCAGGACCTGCTTCACTGCTTTGTGCTCACTCTCTTACAGCAGTTAGTTAGCTTGTCTAGACTTTCTTAAATGCACCTTAACCTCTGCACTGGGAAAAAAACAAACAAACAAAATCCCCAAATGCAGGAGCTTCCAGAACACCTTTCTTTAAGACAGGAAAATTTGAGGAACATTGAGAAACACATTCCAGTGAATGAGACTTGAAGCCTTTCTAACTATTTCTTGAAATGAACTCTGATGATCTATGTTTCTTTTTCAAGCAGGTGGCCTAGAAGAGTCAGCGGTGACAGGAATTGTCGTGGGGGCTTTACTTGGAGCTGGATTGCTAATGGCGTTCTACTTTTTCAGGTTGGGACTGCTGTGTGAACTGTGAAATCTGCTCTTCCTGCCTTCATTACTTGCCTTTGCACGAGCCTTTTTGTGACTTGTTCATAGCTTGTTCTCACCCAAAAAGCATGGTGGTTAAAAGAAGGAAGCCATCCTTTTGGTGACAGATACCATGTTTGTGACTGGTGGGGAGCAGAGTAGGGGTATTGGGCTAGGGTTTCTATTGTTTCCCCCTGAAGGCCACAGAGCAGCCGCTCTCCATTGACCATAAATATGCTGATCTGAATCCCTACCACCCACCAAGTTAGTGCGTACAAAGGAATCCAGACAGAAGGGGAGCTCCATTTTCTCATTCTCAGGCTTTCCCTAATTCAGAAACAGGTGTGGGTTCACCTTCTGAAGAGGTGGAGGTAGCTCACAACGGCACAGGCTCCCCAGCTGGTCTGCTCTCAGCATTTGGAGGACCCACTGCCTAATTACCACTGGGACTCAGCTCCAAGGCTTGTAAAATTGTAATATGTGTGTTCAAGAGACAGATACTTTTGCATCATGAGGGTGGTCTATTCCTTTGTAATCTTTGGTGGTTGAGTTTGACTAGTTCTTAAATCATTAGACTAAGAGTTCTTCTTTTCTGCATGGAAATGAAACTCTGGGTGTATGTGACTCTATGTGGGGACAATTATAGTCCTGTTCCTTTGGGCACTTAATCTGATCTTTATCTAGGGCATATTCTGGGAGTTGGGGGAACGTCTGTGGCAGAACAGACAAGACTTAACCCACAAGGCACAAAGGGAAGAAGGGGAAGCTTGTTCTGTGGCAGTTCAGAAAACAGAGCAGTTTTCCTCCTTGAATAAGGGCCACACGCCTTGGGGCACACTACTTTAATCTCTGACCAGGGTTTCATATTCTGTCACTTCTCATTTATCAACCCAAACCCAGATGTCCCTTGAGGGCATTCTTTGTAAGAGAAACCATAGTATTTTGTAGCCAAGTGAGGTTTTATTACTATATTCACCCATTCACTTTCCTTTTACCCAGGAAGAAATACAGAATAACCATTGAGAGGCGAAACCAGCAAGAAGAAAGTAACATTGGAAAACATCGGGAGTTACGGGAAGATTCCATCAGATCCCATTTTTCGGTGGCTTAAAAGGAAATCTTTTCTTTCACTCTGAGATCTTTAAGGAGATAGACGGGATGAAAGAAATCAATGAAAACAGAAGGGGCGCTCTTGAACTCATTCTTTCAAGCAATCATTTCATTGTAAAATTTCTTTAGAAGCTCAGGAACCATTATTAATCATCATATGCCTCTCAGCCTTTCATCTCATGACAAATATAAGAATACAAAGTCACTCTGTTAATGTTCTTGCTGTTTTGAGAGCATATGATTAGATATGTGTTTGAAAATCTGATGTCTCCATATATCTTGATGGCCTTTGGGGGCATTTCACACAAGGCTATAAAATGTGGTTTTCTTAAATGAAATGTTTTATAGCTAGAATAAAATAATTTTTACAAGTAGAATATTCTTGGAAAGAATTTAACACCTAAGAATAGGAAAATGTAATGAAAAACCTCAAGGTTGGAGATGTAGCTTTCCTCTCTCCAGGCCTGGGGCAGACTTGAGGTTGAGAACTGTTCTGTCCATTATATGCCTACATTCAGGTCCTGACTTCATCATCTTGACAAAGAATTTCCTCCCTGTCTCCTTTAGTGTCTCATAAGAGCTACTCTGGAAAGCTATAACTATCGAGATAAGAGGATTTGTACAAGAGAAGCAAATATAAATGTTTTGTTTTTTAATGTAAAAAGTGCCATATTTCACACTAACATTTTATTTTTTAAGTATTTTAATCTTATATTTTGCTATTAGAAAATGTGTCTATTTTTTCATTTTGAAGATTAAATTTCACTTATATTTTAAAAGCATGGGTAAAGTGTACAACAAGCCAACAGTGATGAAAGATACTTTTCTTTTTCTCCCTGCTCCCCTCCCCTTTGACCAGAACCAAATGCCAATTGCTGCTGAAACACAGAGATCTAGAATTGTATTCAGATTACAGATTCTACAGACTCTACATTTGACCAAATGATAAATTTTAAGATCAAGAGCGAAATTTATTAGAATTTATAGGAGGGTGTCCTAAAGGGAGGCAGCCCTTTTTCCTCAAGAACAACTTTATAGAGTTAGAACTTGACAATGAGGACAAAAGTGACAAATTAAAAAAATGCTTACACAACATTTTATCAAAATTGACAATACACCCCACAGAGCTTTGTCGTCATCCACTAGTCGCTGGCATAACGGTGGGTTGGGATTGGATGTAAGGAATTTGGCCAAAGTTGAAGAAGTGCTGAATACTTTGTACCTAGTACTCTGCGCATAGGTTTAAACTCAGGTTGCCTTTGGAATTATGATTTGTGGAGGAAACAGTGAGGGAAGAATGGGAAGCTGCTGGACTTCTGTGGGTCTTTCCTCAATAACATTTTAAATATCTAGAAAACAGTGTTATAAACTATCTTAAAAGAGCATGTGTAAGGAGGAAAATAGGGGAGTCTGCGCAAGTCCTTGGTAGTGATAGGGGTCACGGGTCACCCCTAATGGTGGTGTAGAGTGGTAAGTGAAAGCTGCACATCTGGGAAGTTGGCCTGAGCTTGCTTTGCTGGAGGAGTCTGCCTTTGTCACTCCTACTTCAACCAGCCAAAGTGAACAGATTATTTGTGTGTGAGGCACGTTTCCACTCTACTATTAAAAAAACAGAATGCAGGCAGCAGGAGAGCATGATAAAATTAATTATGATGGCCTGAAACAACTCGATTGTAGTTCTCCAGTTCAATGCAAAGAATAAAGTGCTGAATTAAAAAAAAAAAATGATGCTAGAAGAAGAGGGTAAGAAAGACAAGCTCTAGAAATTCTAATGTAGGCAGTTTGGGAAATAAAATCTAGGAAAGCAAAGCAAAGCCCAGGACTCCTCAGAGTGAAAACAGAATAGGAGGATTGTCCATATTATTTACATGGGTTGGAGAGCTTATTGCTCTTATATATTTTAGAGATACTCATTTTCTATTATCTTTGGTTTGTAAAAACAAAACCAAAAACCCTATGTACTTATTATCATGGGAAAAATCACTCTATGTGTTTGCAGTTTTTGGGTATAAACATTTTTGATGTTTCCAGGATTTATATAGGGGCCCATTAGCTCTAACATATATAGAGCAAATATAATTTATTTCTACTTCAGGAAGCGGAATAGTCCTAAACTTAGTACTATAATCTCAGATAAACTTATAAAAATAAGTGAGAATTTAGTATCTTAAAAATGGCAGAACAAATTATGATATTTCTATTATGCAGATTCTCTCCAATCTTAAAGCAAATCTAGGGTCCCTAAGAGCGATTGTTTCTTACATGTCTGTTATCTATTCTTTCTTCCTTGAAAGTGCCATATGAGTTACCAAAACTCCATTAAGTTGGAAACATTAGCTAAAAGTGTAGGTGTTTGGCCCAGGTTACCGGTGTTAAGACCGCTGGAGAGTATATCTTGGGATTTAAGTTCTAACTGCTAAACATGCCTTTGACAACTAGCCATTCATCCTCTGCCAGTAGCCACATAGGATACAGTATCTAAATAGGGCTTTAGTTCTCAAATCATTCTATAAAATTTTACCCTGAAATCCAGGGTGTTCAGATTTCAAGAGATACTTTATCAGTATCCTCTCATTTGGCCAAACATTGATATAGGTTGAGATGAGTATATACATATATTCATGGGGTAGGAAGAAGTGTAGGTTTTATCGTCATCATTGTCACCTTCTTAGATCTTTGGGAGGGCTTAGAAATAAAAGCTTTATCCATATACTCACTTCTACCAAGAAACTTTACTTTCTGTAAAGAGTGCCTGTCTTCCCCTAGACCACAGGATCCATGAGGAAGCCCTTGTAAACATTACATTTCTTGGAAGACCCATCAACTTGTCCTTTTCTGGACCACAGACATAGTTCCACAGGCTTTAAAATAGTTCTTTATGTTTCAGAAACTGCATTTAATGGGATGAGGAGAGAAATGTATGGAAAGAGAATGTCTCTCTTCTCTTTCTGAAATTCAAAGACTTGAGCTTTGGAATGTCCCTTCACTTTCCCTGTCACATGATTCTGGCATCATTAACTGATTCAAGGCACATGTGTCCCCTTTGCATCGAATGTACCACTTTCTTTCTGTCTGCTATTGATTTGGGGAGTATGAGATATGCCATTGACAGTGTATCTGCTGCATGGATCCCGTACAGAGAGACAGGAATTCAGAAAGTCGGTTCCAGTGGCATCACGAGCCTCTTGTGAGTCTCTTTGTGGAATTCTCTTTGGGAGGCCAAGTAGAATAATGCTGGTGGGAACCAAAAAAAGTGTCTATTAACTGAAAGGAACACATGCCTATGTTTCTTAGGACACAGCCTCAGGTCCTGAGTGGATGCAATCATAAAGCCAAATGCCACCAAAAGCAGGCCTCAGGCCTGTGTGTCCTGGGTCCCGGTCCCAGTGAGTCATGCCCCGTGGTTCAGTGCTTCACAGGGAGTCCATACTGGACTGAACAACTTCAGTGAACAACAAGGAAGCTTTCCCCAAACATCCTCAGTCCACTGAGGCTGCTATAACAGCTACATTTTAAGGATAGCCCTTCAGTTTGGGTTGATTGTTAGAACTACAGAATAACTAGCAATTAGTCCATCTTCAGCAGCCAGGTGCAGCAAAGAGCCTGGGACATATCCAGTAAGAACAATCAGAAGTTTGAGCCTCCAGAAGACACAGAAGAGTGTGGTCTTGATACCATCTTAACCACCCCCTCTCCCCACAGCATGATCTACCAGCAAGGCCCTAAGATGCATCAGCATCTGCCCATGGAGGTGGACACTGTGAGCAGGACCTCCATCATTCCTCAGTGGGATGGAAGACAAAACAGTACTGTCTGTAAGAATGTGGCTGGATTTTCTTCAGACCCTTTGTGTTAACTTGACCAGATTCGCTCTTGGGCAGTTTTAGCCTGTGTTGTGCATTTGTAGCAGTGAGCCTGGCTTTTGTTTTCACTTTATAGATGTCACAAATATCTCTTGCAGGCATGCCCCACAGCTAGACTCTAGGATCAAAATGACTTTCAAGAGGTGCTGGATTGGGGTTTGTTCAAATTTCTGATTAACCACTAATGTTCATTCATACCAAAGGCAAAGCAATTCTAACCCAGCTGATGCTGTTACTGTTCATGTTTTAAGCTACTTCAAACATAGTAGGAGAGTCTCAATGGGAGCTGAGTCTTAGAAGTAAAAATCCATATGTTATAATAGCTCTTTGATGTATCAGGTGTGGGATGATTCCTAGGGGAGCGATTTGAGCAGGCAGAATTAAGAGTTAGCAAACACGCTGCCTTGCTTTGATTCACATGTTTAAAGACTTAAGTTTCTATGCACAGGGAATAAAGGATCTATTCACCACGTGTAAATCACAACATAGGCCACCAAATTGCTTTTTTTTTTTTTGGATAGAGCAGAGATGTCATATCACATAATTTAATAATTGGGCAAAGAAGGTTGGGAAAGAAGAATATTTGGATTTTGAAATATCCAATAACTAACCAATGGATTCTCTAGTGCTACGATTTGGAAATGTCCAATGTGGTACTTTGAAGAGAGCAGTAAGTGTGCACCCACAGCCTGGAGATGCTGTGAGTTTGCAGACTTATTTCTGGGTCCTGGGAAAGGAAGCTTTGTTCCCTGTGTATGGTAAATAATGGGAACCAAGAGGACATGGTGTAGATCTGTGGAAGATGGATTCTGCACCCCCTGTCTTCTGGGTCGTCTTATTCTTTGTTTATTTAAATGCAGGACTACCGAACAATACAAGCCTACCATGAATCTAGTAGAAAAGTAAAAGTAAAAGCTGCACAAGCTACATACAGCTTATTATTCTGATGTAAGTAGAACTATCTGCATATAATGTGATTTAATTTATTATTGTTTTGTGTAGAAAATGAGAATTAATGACTGTGGATATAACCCCTGTTTTGTATAATATATTTTATTTCTGGTGCAAACCGGTTATTTAGAGTATCTACTTCATTTGGTGCATTTGGTGTTTGGATATAGATGTGTATGTGTTCTTGTAAATATTTCTATCAAGCAAGAATACTACATGCTCACAGTATAACAATGTGTTCTCATTAAAAAAATACATCCCCAATGAGACCTTTTCCTGTTTATAATTCAGCAATCCTACACTGCCATTTCCATATTCTCCAAGGATTTTCTGTTCTTCTAGGATGGGGTGAAGTAAAAGAGGAATTGGTGGACGTGATGGATTGTACTGTTTGAATGGTACTCACAAAAGTACTCGAGAACTTCTGTCTAGCAAAGGGAAATTGGCAGAAATGAGAAAAGAATATACTATCAAAGTGAGGGTAAATCTTGAATTGGCAGATGAGGGAAGAAACCTGCGTGAATAATGTCATCCCGGGCTCCTGCAGCTTACTGGCCCCCTGTAGTTAGACGCTGGCTTCTCTGACTTGCATCTCGGTGTTCTTGTCCTAAGTCAACTGTGTCACTCTAACGAGCTCCTTGGGCTGTAGCCTGCTAAGCAGATTAAGCAGCCTCTCCAGTTGCTCTGGGTTGTAAAATGCTGCTTCACTGTCTGGGAAGTTACTCATGATTTATTTTAAGCCTGAGAAGCACATGGTGATTCTCCTGGTCCGAGGGCCGTTCCTGGTCCTGCTACTCTGTCTCCACCATGGGAGCGCCTGGCAGTCACATGGCACTCGAAAACATTCTGAGCAAGATGCTGGTTTGGGGTCTGAGATGGGAGAGAGGGCGGGGCAGATGCGGCAGGCATGCAGGGTGGGGCCGGGAAACCTCCAGGGAACACAGGATGTCTTAGTCTACTCGGGCTGCTGTAACAAACACTACGGACTTGAGGGCTTAAACAACAGAAATTATTTCTAAAACCATCCTGGAATCTGGGAAACCCAAGATCAAGGTGCCAGCCAATTTTGTTCCTGGTGAGGGTTTTCTTCCTGGCTTAGTGATGGCTCCTTCTTGCTCTGTGTGTGTGTGTGCGCGCGCGCATGTGTGTGTGTGTGTGTGTGTGTGTGTACACGTGCGCATGCACACGGGCACACAGAGATAGTGATAGAAAGGAGGAGGAGAGAGCAAAGGGGGCACTGTGGTGTCTCTCTTCATAAGAACATTAATCCTCTCACACTCGGGCGCCACCCCTATATCCTCATTTTACCTTAATTCCTTTCTCTGACTTTCCCTGTTCAAGTGGAGCCAGGCCGGGGGTTCAGGCTTCAACGTATGGATTTTAGGAGGAACACAAACTTTCAGTCCAGAGTGCTGCGACTACTTTCCCACATCACCATGGGGACCATGGGCTCCTCGAATCTTGCCATTTCATCTCCTACCTCCTCATCCCCGTCGAACCTCTTCCTGCATACTCAACACCCCTCAGAAGGCCAGAATGCCTGATGACTGACTAGTAGGGGATATGTACTTCAGGGGAGCCCCAGGGCGCTCCAAATACCATTGATTTAGTTCCCCACCCTCACCCTAAATTATGGGCTTCTGGGATTGACTTAAATAGCAGCTGCTATTGGGAGAGGCACCAATGGCTGGAGGTCTTTAAAAAAAATAGCCATTTAATAAACCGTCTATTAGCACCAAACTAGGACCAAGACAAATAATTGCCTTCGCAGGCTTCGCGCGTCCCTGCTGTCCATACTGCTAAAGCCCTATCAGCCCCACTTCAGAGGTGAGGACATCCTGGAGGCAGATAGCTTAGGGGAGGCGCCTGGCTCTGCTATGTGGGGCTCACTGGCCTGTGTGAAACAGGGACAATCCTGTTCCTGGCTGCATTGCTGCTGTGAGGACTTCGTACTCAGATGCCTGTCGGGCACAGACTGAAGCACTCAACAGATGGAAGATTATACCCTCCTGTCACTTTGGATAAAGAAATAAAACCCCAACTGGCCATTTTTAAGGCCGTTTAAGCTTGGAATGGCCTTGGCCGTTCCTTCCATGACGTGGAAGCTGAGATGAGAGACAAGGAGGGAACAGGTCTCGTGTCTGTGCACTCTCCTCCTCCTGAAGGATCCAGACAAGAGCCAAGATGTGAACAGCTATGGCCACATCATCTCTGAAGCTCTCAGGGGGCCGGTCTCCCAAAAATCTGTTTTCTCCTCAGAGTGGAGATGCCACGGCTGGTCCAGCATGTCATACCTGCCACCCTCAGCCTGCTTTCTGCCCCTGGAGGAGGTGGCCCTAAGAACTGCTCCCTGCTCCTCACCCCCTGGGTCCATGACCAGACAGCAGTCCTGCTCCCCCAGGACATACAGGCCTTCCTGTGAGAGGCTGTTCTCAGGCCCAGGTCTCCCCTGAGAATGCTGGGATTTTGTCTCAAATGCAATAGTAGCACCGTGTGTGTGTGTGACACACACAGAGAGAGAGAGAGAGAGAGAGAGAGAGATAGATACAGACACATACACACAGACACACACAGAATGAGAATCTCCTTGGGGGACACAGGAGGTTCTTACTCTGCTGCTGCTCCAGCGTGTCTAATGGGATCAAGTGTGCTGCCGGCTGGTGACAAGCAACCGCATCAACGTGACCAGGTTCCTAGCACTCCCGGGGGCCTTCTCTTCCCCAGTCTAGGATCCCCAGACACCAGAATAAAGACGAAACTGCTCTTCTGAAACGGTCTCCAATAGTTCAAAATGAGGGTTGGGGGGTGTCCATCTGGGAGGCGGCATTCTAGGCCGCGTTACCTGCTTCAGGCCGCTAAGCACAGTGGCCAGCACCTGGTACCCAAAGATGAGGGTATCTGGGCCCAAGGCATGGCTGTCTCCATGGAATGCCTGAGAAAACCCAGCAGTGTGCGAGAGAGCCACGCTCCCCCAGCAGGAACATCTTGGATGGTGTTAAAGTTATTTTGTGCTTTCAGGCAAAAATCCAACCTGAGATTTATCTTAATAGAACTGTTTCCCTACTATCTTAAATGACTGCTACTTTATGGCTATTTTTAGCACTATGTGCAGAAGGGGAACGAGAGTGAGCAAGAGTGCATCCCTGCTCCGGCCCATGATGGTAGCTATTGTCGAGAGCAGCTACATGCCAAGACTGGGCTGAGCATCTTAAACATGTTCTTTTCTCTGATCCTTACGTGGTTACCCTCATGTCACTCCTCAGTAGGACTGGGGTCATCCTTCTCTCTTAGGGATCTGTAAACTGAGGCAGAGGGAGGCTAAATGGCTCGCCCAAGGCCTCCCTGTGACCACATGGCAGACTGGCCTTTTGTCCTGCAGCCAGGGCGCTGTCAGGCTTATCAATTGTCCACTTCGGGTTTGTACCCAGCTCTCCCTCTCCATTGTCACTGTCACTAAGTCTTTATCATTGAATCCTCAATTTACCAAGTTAGCAGCCTCTTAACACCCCTTATTTTTAAGTTCTCGACTCATTGTCCACATCACTGTCACATCAGTCTTGCTAAAAGAACACTCGTAATGTCCTCTTGTGCAAGGACCTTTAATGACTCCCATTGCTCAGAGGCCAGATCCTCTAGCCTGTGCCTGGTGTTCACAGCCCTAGACCCTCCATCCTGCTTTATCGCCTTATTATTCACTTTCCTTTGGTTTGCTATGTTGTGCTAAATTGGACTCAAATTGATTCACTTGTCACCCATGAAACATTTCCTGCATTTTCTTGCCTGTGAACATTTTATTCACAGCATTTTCCTGCTTGGAAAACCCAACCAGGTCCGTCTTGCATCTGCAGCTCAAATTCCAGTTCTCCCAGAAGCTCCCCTGCTCCCGCCCACCCCCGCCAGTCCCAGATGAGCTCTATCTGATTTTGTGGCATTTATTGTGTTGGGGGTTAGGAATGGGAGGTATGCACATGTGTTCTGTAGGGTCAGCCTGCTTTTAGGAAAAAAAAAAAAGAGGATTTTGAATGCTTTTGGATGGGGTAAATTGGAATTTGCCAGAACCCCTAGACTTCTGATGTTCTTACATCCAGTTTTCTTCACTAATTTATACTCAAGATTTGGGCTTTCAATCTCCACTTGTGCAGTTAATTGGACAATCATGTATAGGTTCATGCTATTGCCACCATACTTACCAATTAATATCATACCTTCCAAGTAGCTAGTCTTCAAAAAAATTTCCTGACATTGTATTTTTTTTTTTAAAGATTGATTTATTTATTTATACAAGCACTGGGTATAGTCAAAAGCGCGGGAGGGTGAGAGAATTCACCAGAGCCAGAGTGGGGAACAGAGCAGGCAGACTGACGAAATACACTGCAGAGGGGAGCTGTGGGCACGTCAGGAGAGGTCTGTCGCACCTTGTGGGACCCTCGCCAGCTGCTGGGAATCGAACCGGCGCTGCAGAGGCTGCGGGCAGCTTCGCAGCCCAGCGCTCAACCGCTGCGCCACCAGGGGAGGCTCCTGACATTGTATTTTTTACTTTAATTTTTTCCCCCTGACACTTTAGATTTGTCTCTTTCCCTTTAGCTTATCAAATACTAAGTGGTTCCAAAATAAAATACTTCCTGCAGCAGAGGAATTACTACCCAAAGAAACTTAATGTAGTTTTTACGATGTTCATGCTCTATCAAGTTTCTGCTTTGTGAAATTTTCTTAAAACTGGAAGATTTTTACATGACTTTCCACTAAAAGGACTCCAGAGCTTCAACCCTTGCTTTTCTATTTACTAGCTGTGAGGCCTCAGCAAATCACAGGACCTGCTCAGTTTCCTCTTTTGTGCAATCCGGAGAATAATGACTGCATTGTAGTGTTTTCTAACAGTCCCTTTCTATTTCCACGAGCAACCTTACTTAGCACTTCATGTTCCTGGATACCTGCGGTCAAGGCTGACCCATGACTGAGACCCTGGGGTCTTTTGGGCATGGAGCTAACAGGAGAGACGCCCGCCTCTAATCCTGTCCTTATTTATACACGGGGACACTGGGTGGGCACAGGACTGCGGGCGTGAAGTTCCTGTGCAGACGATGATGATTGTGCACGTCTGAGGTCAGGATCCTCCATGGGCTGGCACCTCACACTGTCCCCCCACAGCCCGGGGGGAGGCGGCGCTGCCATCATTTCTGAGACACAGCTCCTGGGAATGTGGATTCAGAGCTCAATGCTTCTCGGCTCTGAATCAGGCGGCAACATACACAAATTGTCACTCACGCCCTAAGTGTGCCTGCACAGCCCTCGGAGACTCCCACCTCAAATTCTGTCACCCCTGCCCTATCATACACTAATCACGATGATAAGAAAATAGTACTTTATACTAGAATTTAGGATTTAGCTTGGAGATTCTCAAGCACTATCTGCAGACTAGCGTTGACCCAAGGAGTTATGCCAGGTTGTAGTGAAATAAGAAAACTTAGGGCAATAATGGGGAAATGTTGATCAATGAACATTGATTCAAAATTGTTCAGAGAGTATAACTTTAGGATTTTGTATCTGAGTTGTGAATATCACCT